ATTGTGACTTATAGTTCTCTGGCTGTCAATTGATTTCAGTATTTGGCTTTTTTCGGGTTCTGTGGTTGTACCCTAGGGCTATCAGAAACCTAACCTCTCTACTTTTGTAGGATAATATTAGTTTGCATCCTGCCCTCTCCAGACTCAACTTATGGCATTGTACTCTAAATTATGATCTTGTAATAGTGCAAGTGTACTTCCTTTCCATGCTTGGGTTTTGACTTTATTTGATGATTTTTTGTCTAAACTATTACTCTGTCGCCATAAAATTCTGAAACTCAACGATTACATATTCTTCGTCAATTTCCTAGCTCTGCTACCGGAAGAATGGTACGTATTATGAACAGTTTTTTTTTTTTTCAAATGTATACTATAGGTGGAATAAAATATATACGTACTCTTGTTAAGGATTACATGACTACTAATGTCATTTTTAGGAAAAATATTTAGTTGAAAATGTCAATTATATCTATGGATTACTAGTACATGTCAATACTTCGATCGTGAATTCCATGAAACTAAATCAAACAATTACTTCTTTTATATTTACAACTTAGGGTTTCAATATTTTAAAAAGGGAAAAGGGTCAAATATGTCTTAAAATTATTCGAAAAGGTTTAGATATATTCCGTTTAAAGTTTAGTTCACTCATGTCTTCGCCGTCTAACTTTTTGCCCAGATATGCTCTTATTGGCGTTAATTGGTACGCTGAACATATCCTTTTTTGTTTGTTTATTTACATTAGTGACTTTTTATAAGAAAGTACCATCTCTTTTGATTGGATACCATAGCTAATATAATGAAGAGGAGTTCATATTATTTATCTGTGAGTTTTGTGAAACTATATTTATATTTACTAAACAACTTATTGTTAGCATACAAATTTAATATCTCAAAAGAATGATCAAATTTATTATTTTACATAATTTCTATATTATTTGATAACATATTCCAATCATAAGCTTTGACACATATTTATTGGCATTTATTTTAAGGTTAGTACTCCCACTATTCTATATTACTATTCTATATTAACTGAATTTGTGAGGTAATACATGCTTATTAAGAAAAATATTTAAATACATAATAAATAGTGCAATTTATCTCCTAGAAATATTAGACTTTATTAAAGAAAATGACAAAATAATATAATTCAATCAATACAAATCAATAAATAAAATGATCAGCTTATATTTAAAATGAGAGTCAAAAATAACTTTTATGATTATATTTTTGGTAGATTATTAATATTGACAGATTTGGTATAATTTTGACTTCTGCTCAAACCTAATGCAATTCACATTGAACATGAACATGGAATGTTAGTAACAAAATTTCCAAATATAATTTTGTAAAAACGCCTCACACCAACTATAAAAATCCTTCCTTTGATTCCAGTATCAAGAAGTGATTTTTCTATATCACATTCTTTTTTTTTTTTCAAACATATTGTTGATACAATGTTTCTTGTTTATTATGATGAATATCCGAAAGAGGATTTTTTCCATTGTTAAATTCATTGATTACATAGATGATGATGGGATTAATGCGGTCTTTCATGATGTGTTTAATGTACAAGTGGATGAAGAGAAATATCATAGACAAGTAAATGGAAATACCATAGCTGATACTTACTGTGTCAAATGTGGAATGCTGCTAGGGATGAAAATTATTGTAGTCCCTTATAACAATCAAATTGAGAATATTAGAGAAGGAAGGTTTTTGATGAGCGCGTCCCAACTTGTTTATTGGAATAATAAGCTAATGTTTGTTGAGAAGATGATGAAGAAGCTGAAGGAGGTGCTAATGAACACGATCATGATCAAGGTGGAGAAACAGATGAACGAGATCATCATAACGATGAAGATGTTAATGATCATGATGATAATGATCAAGATTGAGGCTCTAACACATTAAATGACGATGTTGATCATATATTATAGATAATAGGTGATGTAAATCTAGACATCAAAGATTACTTACTTAGCATTTTTGCTTTTGTATGATTGATCTACTTTTTCTTTCATCTTGTTAGAACATCTTTTTATTAGTTTACATATCGCTCTCAAACTATTTTGTTTCAAGTTATGAGTTATATTTAATTTTTATATATGGAGAAACTTATTTTTTATAAGAATTTGTGACCTTTTATAAGAAAGTACTATCTCTTTGATTGGATACCATAGCTAATAGAAGGATTATAATAAAGAAGTGTTTACTATTTAGCCGTGAGTTTTATGAAAGTAAATTTATAATTATCTAATACTCCAAATATAAACATTAAATTTTATATATCTTCTATATTTTATAACAACGTTTCTTTATATATATTATAATAAAAGTAAGAACATCAACAACAGGGATAAGAGTCTGAAAAATATCCCAATTATGGTCGAATTTGTTGTTGTGATACCAAACTTTTATGAGGATCTATTATCTCCTTAAACAATTAAATAGTGTATTTTTTACCCCCTGAAGTATTTAATAGTGTATTTTAAAGATATATATGTGCCCACGTAGACAAATATATATGTTTAAAATACAGTATATAGTCTAGGAAATTAATAGGTCCTTAGAAAAGTTTCGTATCGCAACAGTTAACTAGACCAAAATTGGGGAATTTTTCAGTCCCTTATCCCCCAATAATACAACAATAACAAAGTAATGAACTATAGAAAAGGGAGAATAAAATATACTTAAGAAGTGTAAGTAAGAGATTTTAAGAGTGACTAATTTTTTTAAAATAATATTCACGTTATTTTTAAAAATAATATTGTACATAGTTTGATATTCACGTGCATCAAAACTAATTACTAATTAATGATCACTAAATTTAATTTGATGTAGTATCGTTAGATATAAAAGTATATATCATAACTTATATAAATGTACAACTTCATAGAGGAACATTAATCTCATATACTATTCTTTTTGAAAAATAGCAAGAAATTATATGATTCAATCAATACAAATCAATAAATAAAATGATCAGCTTATAATTAAAATGAGAGTCAAAATAACTTACGTTATCAAGACCAATATTATAGTCTACAAGCTATGAAATTGAGTTAACCTATTAATGTATTTAGAGAGGAGAAACCACTTTAATGTATTTAACCGTTGACTGGGAAGTATTGAATTAAGAATTTTAATAATTTATTTACCTATTTTATGATAATGATTTTCTTATTAAGATTATATTTTTGGTATATTTTTAATATTGACGAAACTTATTGTAGTCCCTTATAACAATCAAATTGAGAATATTAGAGAAGGAAGGTTTTTTTTGATGAGCGCGTCCCAACTTATTTATTGGAATAATAAGCCAATGTTTGTTGACCAAGATTACGATGATGAAGAAGAAGAAGATGATGATGATGAAGAAGCTGAAGGAGGTGCTAATGAGCACGATCATGATCAAGGTGGAGAAACAGATGAACAAGATCATCATAACGATGAAGATGTTAATGATCATGATGATAATGATCAAGATTGAGGCTCTAACACACTAAATGAAGATGTTGATCATATATTATAGATAATAGGTGATCTAAATCCAGACATCAAAGATTACTTACTTAGCATTTGCTTTTGTATAATTGATTTTCTTTTTCTTTTATCTTGTTAGAACCTCTTTTATTAGTTACTTATCGCTCGTAAAATATTTTGTTTCAAGTTATGAATTATATTTAAGTTATATAAATAATACAGACTCCTTTTTTAAAAAATTATTTTGTAACTTTTTATAAGAAAGTACTATCTTTTTGGTTGGATACCATAGCCAATATAAAGATTATAATGAAGAGGTGTTAGAGAATTTATCTGTGAGTTCTGTGAAACTAAGTTTATATTTACTAAGCAAGTTATATTGGCACTGTAGACCGTTCAAATTTAACTCAATTCGTCCATAGGTATCCATTTCTAGTTTTCAGCCAAGTCACCATAGAAATGTAATATTCTTTCTGACATGAGACTACCTATAATATTTCAGTTGAAACAGATAATGTGTGACCATCCAGTGAAGAAATCACCAAAGGAAACTTCTTATTACATACTTCTACTATATATGCACAATTTCTTATTTTAATTGTATACGTTAGTGCAACAAAGTACTAAAAATATGTTTCTCTCTAAATAGGGATTTTGTGAAAATTCAAGGAAACTTCTATGTATTAATTTACTTAGCTTCTTGAATATATATTTTGGCTACTAATCTTGGAAGTTAGTTAGTGATAAAATACGTATAATTTTTTTTAAATAATGAATGACAATAAAATTGAAATTCAAAATCTTTGTTTGTTTTGATAATTTGTTGAAGCTAGCGTATGATCAGATCTTATCTAAAAATATATAATTTTGCCTAAGTAAAGTGTGTCATCCAAATTAGTCGATCCTTTATACATAAAAATATTAAAGGATTGTCCACTTTCTCAAGAATCTCTATATTTAGAAAGTGACAACGAATGAATTCTTTTAAAACTTCTTTGAAAAATAGAAAACTTTGGAACGATCGTTATTCAATTATTTTTTATTATTATAATGAATTTATAAATAATAAAAAGTACTTCATAAATCATTGAATATTTTTATATTTTTTTTTCACTTTATCAACTTAATCCATTAATGTTGAAGTGAGAATGCTATAATACATTTCTTATCTTAAAAATTGAGTAATCAGTATATGGTATATATAGCGTACCATAAAATATATTTTCTCATGAACACTCAATAATTATTTTTTCCAATGATTTTATTCCATATAGTACACAAATATATAACAAAACCTACATACCTTAATTCTTTACCTTTTTTAGGGTTCTAGCACTTGTTTCCATACAATAAAACTACGTGGAGTCCATGCAAACATATTTGAAAAATAAATAATTTAATAAATTAAAAAAAGGAAAATTCTACGAAACTTCAAATAATTTCAAACACACCTAAACTCCCATTTCTTGTCCTCTATATAAAACCAAGAACACAAGTGTTTTTATACATAAAAAAAAATTCCCCTATTAAATCAACATTTTCTAGTCCTTTTTTTTAGAAAAAAATAATAATTAAAGTCCTATTTTTTATTTTTAGGAAATAATGGGTTCTCTAAGGGATTTGGAGCATAATGTTGGAGAAGAATTAGATAGGAAAAATGATGAAGAAATTATTATGAAGAAGAAAAAAAATGCACAACTTTTTAGGATATTGTTGGTTAATATTCAAGAAGTTATATTAGGAACAAAGCTTTGTTTGCTCTTACCAGCTATCCCTTTGGCAATCTTGGCTCAATACTATCATTTTGCAAGAGTTAGTAATTTAATTTATTTATTATACTCTTTCTATTTTAATTTATGTGATACTTTTTTATATTTTTTCGATATTCAATGTAGGTAAAGTTTGATCAACACTTTAAATTATACTTTTTCAGCATATTAATTAGCATGAGAAAAATATGCAAATTCTTTCGTATGAGTTTTAGTTTGAGTTCATATAATCTTATTTAGTATTTAAAATTAGTTAAATTGATGCATGAAACAATAAAAATATCATGTAAATTAGAAACGAAAAAAATCAAAATATTTATTTAAATGTTTTTAAGGATTCTACTATTATCTCCCTTCAACCATTTGAGCAAAACATAGCAAAAAATTCAAGAATCGATCATAAAACCTAGTTTAATATAATAATTAATACATTAGCTATTCGCTCTTAGGTTGATGATTTGAATCGATGATATAATTTTATTTAATAAATAAAAACACATTAATTAGCTATTCGCGCTAAGATTGAATCATGAACTATAACATCACCCTAAGGACGCTTTGACATACCAATCATTGAACTGTCAATTAATTTTTTTATTAAATTGAATCTTCAGAATGGGAGAAGGGTAATGAGTCATTCTTAATTAAAAATCACGATTCGTAAAACCAATATTTTTTAATAAAGTATATAATAGTTAATAATTTAGAATATTTTTTATAATATTTTGTAATGATCAAGTAAATATATAATGATTTTGATGTTATGAACAGCCTTGGATTTTTGCTTTTAGTTTGCTTGGACTTGCACCTCTTGCTGAACGTGTCAGCTTCTTGACTGAGTAAGTTTGCATTAATATTTTTAATCTTTTTTATATTCTTTTACTTTATGACAAAATTACTAATAAGATTTTATTTTTTTTTCTTTTTGTTTCATTTCCACTTGAAAACTTAAAAAAAGACAAATTGCTCACTTCACTGGTCCAACAGGTATGTATTTGTTGCTTGCACCTCCTTCCATCTCATTTTAACCGTTACTTTAGCTCTTTTCACGTCAATGTATATATATATATATATATATATATATGAAAAATATTGCCAATTTTAATTTTGGATTCTTAATAAATGAAAAATCGCCTGAAAGTTTGAGGACCTTTAGTACTGTACTCCACCTTTGAATTAGCAGACAACATCCTTTACGTCAAGCAAGATCGCCCTTGTCCCTTTTCTTTCTCCATTGTGCCGCGTTCTTTGATTTGTTCCGATAGAGTTTGAGGTAAAGTGATTTGTATGCCTACTTTACCTACTTGGTGAAAGGGAACGAACAACGTTTCATTTTCGAGTTTATTGAGTGGATTCCGTCAGCAAACACCTAAAGAAGCAATAAATAATAGGGGTAACATTACTATATTATTTTTTAATATATTTACTTTAATGTTTTAGGAAATATGTATTAGATATTGGATAGCAAGGTAAAGTAGAGACAAAGGTATAAATAAATATCACTTGACTTTTCAAATTATAACTATATTTTAAGTATAGTAGACAAATAAAGATGGACGGATCGGAGAGAGTTATAATTATGGTTTTAGCTAAAATGACTACTAATTTAATTAAGGGAAAATTGTATGAAACAACAAACTATTAATTCAAATTAAATGTTATAGCCATAGTTTATTTTAATTGTAATTCGCGGCAAACGTCCCCTTTTCTTGCCATTTGATTTGGCTATACAAATAGCCATTTCTGGTATACAATTTGTCATTTTATACACTTCTATAAAATGTATAAAATGTGTTTGTATTCGTATAAAGCAAGAGAAAAGTGTATATATAAATACAAATACATATATTTTCGTCATATACGCTTATAATTATACAAATGCAATTTTATTATACAAATTACAATGTATAAATAAAAATATACAAAACTGAACAATTTGTATAAAATTAAATGTTTATATTTTCATCACATACACTTATAATTATACAAATGCAGATTTTATCATACAAATTATAATGTATAAATAAAATTATACAAAATTCCCACAATTTATATAAACTTGAATATTTGTAGCAAATTATTCGAATAAAAAACTCTATAACAAACATAAAATTTGTTATGGAGCGTCATTACGCAAACTGTAGCTATAACTTACGAATATAATTTTTATGTTTGCAGTTGGGGGTCTACTTAATGCAACATGTGGGAATGCAACTGAGATGATAATAGGATTATTTGCACTTTATCAAAGGAAAATACATGTCCTAAAGTATTCTCTTTTGGGATCCATTCTTTCCAACTTACTTCTTGTTCTTGGAAGCTCTCTTTTTTGTGGTGGACTTGCCAACATTAAAAAAGAACAAACATTTGACAGGGTAAGATTATTTGTGTTTTCACCCTAGATCATATATATTGTGATGCTTCTAGAGTTTGTTGATATCGAATTCAACATCGCTAGCTACGAGCAATTTAACGACATATATTAGCAATGTAATTGTGTTGACATTTGTTTTATGTTGGCCAACAGAAACAAGCTGATGTGAACTCACTTCTTCTACTACTTGGATTGCTTTGCCATATGTTGCCATTGATGTATAGATTGGCTTTGGGACCATCAATTAACAATAATGTAGCAACTTCAATATTGGGATTATCTAGAGTTAGTAGCATTGGTATGCTTATAGCATATGCTGCTTATCTCTTCTTTCAATTGAAGACACATAGACAATTCTTTGAATCCTCTGAGGAGGTAAGTTATTTCATAACATCATCGTTTTTATCTGAATACTTTTTGACTGCTATAGTGAAATGTTATTATTGAGAATGTACAATCATGTATAAATGAAAAATCAGTTCCAACTAAAACTTAGTTGTTATGACATAACATGAAATACTATTATAGAAAAATTTGACTGTATATATGCATGGTGCACGGATACCCGTAACCTGATTTTGACATCGCTATTTCACTTATATTCAATTTATTGAAATGATTGAACTTCATCTATATGTAACTTTATATGTTATGTCTAGCGTTTGATTTTGTCAAGCCTAACTTCAGACACGAAGTCTCGAGTGAGTGAATGTGCAAATTTTCTAACAATATAGTGGATAAGGTACAAGTACGATCGAAATTCTAGAGACACGCATTAACTTAACTAAGGTCCTATTATATCTGAACTCATTTTTTTAAAATTTTGTATACCTTTTGGCTTTCGTGGCACAATTTGCGACTCCACATAGTTGAGGCTCGTGAGAGATGTTTGGATGTCACGTAAGCCAAAAAGATATATTAAATTACAAAAAAAGAATTCAGAGGTTAAAATGTGTCTCTAAAATTTCGGTCATAATCTAGGATACTTAGCTTTTGCCTTATCCCTCATAAATAAGATAGGTAATTTGCTAAAAACAAGTTAAATTACATGAACATTGTAAACTTTTTATGTATCATAAAAATGACTACTAATTTAAATAATTGATTTTGATGACATATGAGCAGGAGGAAGAAGAAAATAAAGTCTCAGAAGATGAAGAGGCAGTAATTGGATTTTGGAGTTCATTTGCTTGGTTAATTGGCATGACTATAACTATTGCTCTATTATCCGAGTACGTTGTCGGTACGATCGAGGTAAAATTAATCTGTCATTAAATTGCTCATAGCTAACATAATATTTTTTTTAATCTAATCGCTAATTAATCTGATTAATTGGTCCAAAGAAAAAAATATATTTAAGAGTATCCTAAGATGAAAACGCGCTTAAATTTAAAAATTTGTAAATTACGTATAATTCATGTATTATTTTTCGTATAACGATTTTTTTTCGAATAATCTCAGGCTGCATCAGATTCTTGGGGGATTTCTGTGAGTTTTATTAGCTTAATATTGTTGCCAATAGTGGGAAATGCAGCAGAACATGCTGGATCCATAATTTTTGCTTTAAAAAACAAGTTGGTAAGATATATATAAATACTAAAAAATTTAATAATTTAATATACTCTATATTTATAATGAATATAGTATACATGATACATACACTAAATGATTTTTATATACATATATACCAATGCAGGATATATCACTAGGTGTTGCATTGGGGTCAGCTTCTCAAATTTCTATGTTTGTGGTAAGAATTTTGGCAATATCTGTTTATTTATATATACTATTTTATATCGATTTATCTGATGTATTTGTGTTCTTATTAATCTGTTACAAAAGGAATGATATTTTTCTTCTTAGAAACTTGTTGGAACCCTCAATATAGTATGATCGCGTAGATTAAAACACTTGAGAAACGCAACGCCACTTATTTCAAAAAATAATTTTAATATACTTTCGTATACATCTATTTTGTATTTCGATAGTCTTCTTTAATTTCATTGAACTACATGTTTCGTCAATCAAGGTCATATAAAATGGGATGAAGTTGGTAAGTACATAATCATTTATTTGTAGCATCAAGTGATCACTTGAAAAATAACTACAATTATTTATCAGTAAAAGTGAAATATTACTTACTTGAAAAAAAAATCAAGGTATATTATTACTGATGATTACAATCGATATTTTTATATTATGTTGCTTGGACTCTTTAAGATTGATGTTGCATCCTCGTCGAAACTTTCAAAAGATACATTAGTTTTTTTTTTATAGATTTGATATATATAGTCATTTCTAAAAAGTGTGAACAACATAATTTATGGAATTAATTTATATAACATGTTTAATATTTTTAGGTACCTTTATGTGTGATTATGGGTTGGATAATTGGTGTGGATATGGATTTGGATTTTAGCATACTGGAAACTGGTTCTCTTGCTTTCTCAATCATCCTCATTGCCTTCACCTTGCAGGTCCTTTTATTTATTACTATTTGACAATCAACTATAATTGATCGCTAATTATGTTGCTCTGATTCTTTAAAAATGACAATTATCATATTTATTTCGATTTTTTTTTTTAAAATGCACTACTAGAGGATATGTTACGCATCTGTCAGCATTTTTAAAAAGCTAGGACAATATAGGTAGCTAAGCTATTTGACTCATTTCATAAATAAGGAAATAAATAAGAGAAATAAAATAAAAGTCTCAACTTTAAGGATTTTTTGCACATATATTTAAAGAAAATGCACTACTATTAAAGAATACGACATGCAGATATTTGTAAAGAGTTCGAGCAATGTAGGTAGCTAAAAAGATACTCATCTCAACCTGCAAATTAGATTCTTCAGAACCGTTACTTTCGGTGAGAATAATATAGATTTGTGTATCTGAATTCATAAATTCAAAAATATAATATTACGAAACCTTAAAAATTAAACTCATAAATTTTTAATTTTTAATCCGGTCTCTCTTTGCATAGCATCATTTTGCCATGTATATATAAAAATTACACCATATAGAAAGTATATAATATATGTTGCAAAATGAACCAAAATTTTGGAAGAAACAAATTCTTTTTTACTAATAATAGAAACATTGGAGTTGTCAAATATGCTCCAAAACGAAAGGGCAATATTTTGTTTATTTTGTCCATATACATGAATGACATGATAGGTTTTATGGTACAAAACAAAAATTGAGTATGTCATGCTCAAATTATAGTTTCTCATTTTATTTACATTTCTCATCGATATTTTGTATTTGTCTCGTTAAATCTTGATTAACGTCAGAAACTATCACAAAATATCACATTAAGGTAAAACCTTCTCTAGCTATAACAAAGGTAACTTCATATTCAGGCTCGAAATTGACCTCTCGCTTTATTATATTCCTATCATTTTTTTCTTTTTATATTCTTATATTCCTAATATCTCTTGCAGGATGGAACCTCACATTACATGAAAGGGATTATTCTTTGTCTTGCCTATTGTGTCATTGGTGCTTGTTTCTTTTTCCATAAAATTCCAATCAGTAAGTCATTTTTATTTTTTGTTTTCTATACAAACCCTATTAATTATATTAAATAATATACTTATATACATCCTTTGAGAAAACATTTTACTTGTACACGCACAAGTAAACACTTAATTAAACTTGTATAAAACTAAATATATAGACACATTCGTCCAACATGACACTCTACATGATAATTTTGTATTCTACGTGGCGTCCTATATGTATTATGTCATGAAGGACACGTGTGTCTACTTGTTTAAAGTTGGAGGGCATAGCTGTCCGCTGAAGCCAAGTTACATGTTTATGTGTTATGCCTAAAGGCTAAAAGTTACATGTAACTATTTTTATACATGATTTACATTTTCAGTTTATGAAAGTTAAATGTTAAATCCTCTGACAAATTGCTAACTCTTGTTTTGGTGCGTCGGGTGTTGTTAGATATTGAAAACTATTCATCTGGGATCATGTCATCTTAACCAAGTTCATTCAGCAACGTGATGAACCATCAGAAAGAAATCGATATGTATCTGATGGAATCTACGTGGTACACGTCATCAACCGGATGTAATACTTCATTGCATCAATGTGCACTTGTTCATCCAAATTAGAGCTTTCTTAATTACCCTTTTGTGGAGATTATTACATTTCATGTTTTGATTGGAGACCCTAATGCACATGAAATGTGAAAATAATAGACTTATATCAACATGGTTTAAGCTTTATGTAAATATATGTTCTTATTTATTACTACTTTTTTGCATAAATGTGGTGGATTTTGAGGAGAATAAGAAACTATCACTCCTATCAGTTGTGTATTTCAGTTGAGTATTTTGGTGGCCAATTAATAAAATTATCTAAGGTTAAATATATTCCTATTTTTGGTAAATATTATGCACTAAACTTTCACTATTTGCCGTTCGAACAACCTTGTATATGGTCCCTTTAATATATGAAGGATTGCCTAACATAGTACTTCATGATGCATATACCTCACTACTAGGAAGCTTAGTAAAGATACATTTTCCATCGCAAATTAATGAAAATTAGTATTCATGATTTTGTTTCATCGTCAATCATTCTCATCGAACCAGCTTACTGCACATGACGGAAAGCATACATTCTCATCAAATTTTCATGGGAAAATACCCAAGTACCCCTTCAATCTATGCCCGAAATCTCAGAGAAACACTTATACTATACTAAGGTCCTATTACCC